AACGTCTTCCAAGAAAAAAAAACAGAAAGTCCAGTTGCCTCTTGAAAAAGCACCTTGTAGAATGGATAATTGAGGCTATGTAAATAATTATAATGGAATACGACGGACAATACAACGGATGTAAGTTAACTGTATAAATATATAAATATATATATAAGATATGTGTCATATACTTTAGTTTGTGTGCCAAAAATGATGCCAGGATGACCACACCAATATTTTAATGTTCAATATTTTAATGATATAATCAATAAATTATTTATTAAAATAAATAAATAAATAACAAATTAAGAACATCAAATAACATTTACTTGTCCCAAAGGTGCTTTTTGAAGAAGCAACCAATTTCTTTCTTTTTTTTTTTTTTTACTTGAACTGAAGAAGCTTCTTGGAAGAGGATTGAAACGTCTTCAAAGGAAAACCGGAAAGTCCAGTTGCCTCATAAAAACGCATCTTTGGGGCAACCATCAGTTGGATGACCGAGAATCTCTATAGATAACATTTAAGTTTTATTTATTTCATGTATATGTCACTTTTTCAGGAGTTCAGAAGCGATCCGCCTTCACCACTGTACATTTATCAATACTAAGCACTTTGAAGATGTGACCCATTATTTCAATTACACGTGTTTAGAAGGATTTTTATCTCCTTAGTCCAGTATTTTCCTTGTTTCTTTTATATACTGCTAGCTTCCACTGGCTCTTGGCAGTTTGCAATTGTGTTAACATTGACACAATAAAACCGACAGTGCATTCAAAACAAAAACCATGTTGCCGGATAATCCTCCAGCATGCCCTGTGGAAGAATGGTTATTTTATTTTATTTTTCCTGGGCTTACTGTTTTCCTATCTCAAAAAATGATAGTGGGTTTCTCTGTACGAATTCAGAATAAAAACATCATCCAAAGAGAGTGAAGGAAGCATAATGCCATAGAGAGGAAATCTCTCTGCCCAGACCCTTGATTAAATTAGTATAATAGCCCCTTCTGAGAATAAAAGCAGTTTTTCTCCAGTCTTCTGCCATCTGTGCTAGATTCCAAATCCCAGAATGCTCTGCTAGGAGCACTTAGAATGCCATGTTGGCTAGGGATTCTGGGAGTTGAAGTCCAACAGGGGTACCTGTTGGGGAAAGTTGATGTGGGGAATAGGAAGAGCCAAGTACAGGTTCATTTTTAGCCATGAAAACTGGACAGTTTGGGGCAGATCAGCCTACCTCACAAGCATGTTGTGGCAATACAACAAAAGGCAATCTTTTTGAGCTTTTGGAGAAAAGGTAGGCTAAAAATCCATCCAAAAAGGTTATTTCCTCCCTCCTCCCAGTTTGTTTCCTCTGCAGTACATAAATCACTGAAGAAGCAGCCATTACTTTATTTTTGAATAGTTTATTAAATTTTCACCTTAAAAAAACAAGTTCTATATACACTTTTTGCCGTTATTTGTGACATCAGTTATACCATTCTCACATATATATTTACAATTATATTTTAAACCTCCTACTTTTGCATTACATTTTCTTTCGAATTTCTAACCAGACATACCATTTCCCCAATTATTTTATTATTGTCATCCTGATTTATCACTTGTTGCTGGTATGTACACTGAGAGCTTTTGCACCAGAGACCAATTCTTTGTGTCTCCATCACACTTGGCCAATAAAGAATTTTATCTTCTATTAAGAAGATCCCAGCTGCCATTGTAAAGTCCTCCATGGCAGAAAGCTAAGGTTGGGGATGCTAACCTAGGCCACTCAAGTAAATGAGGCACTTTGCGTATTTCAGATTCAAAGGGAAAAAAGGCAATTGAGACCAATCAAGAGTAAGAAGAAAAAGCCCAAAAAAGGACCATTATTTGAAGGACCGGAAGAGGTTTACAGGTAGTCCTAGACCTACGACCACCATTGAGGCCAACATTTTTGTTGCTAAGTGAGACATTTGTTAAGTGAGCTTTGACCCATTGTACGACCTTTCTTGCCACAGCCATTAAGTGAATCACTGCCTTTGTTAAAATTAGTAACAGAGCCGTTAAGTGAATCTGGCTTGTCCATCCACTTGGCTTGTCAAAAAGGGATCACGTAACCTCCAGGGATATTGCAACCGTCATACATGCGAGTCAGCTGTCAAACATCCGTAAGGGTGAAAAAAAAAAGTCACTTTTTCCAGTGCCACTGTCATTTTGGATGGTCGCTAAACGAACTGTTGCAAGTTGAGGACTACCCCGTGCCGCTGTCATTTTGGATGGTCGCTAAACAAAGTATTGCAAGTCGAGGACTACCCTGTGCCGCTGTCATTTCGGGACGGTCACTAAACGAACTGTTGCAAGTCGAGGACTACACCGTGCAGCTGTCATTCCGGGACGGTCGCTAAACGAAGTGTTGCAAGTCGAGGACGACTACCCTGTGCTCCAGGGGAGGCCTTCCCGAGGCTTGCACCTTACACGTGTGCGGGGGTAATGCGTGCACACGCATGTGCAGACATGCCATTTCTACCCTCCAAAACGCCCCTCTCCTCATTCCTTCCCTCCCAAGCGGATCCCCCTCCAGTTTCACAGCGGACACTCGTGCGGGTTGCGTGGGTGGGAAGGAAGGGCCGGTCAAGAACCGGGAAGCAAGCGAGCGGGATCTCGAGGGAGGCCGGAGGTGTTTGCAACGGGTCGAGAGAGAGCCGAGACCGGCCGGCCGGGCTGATCGGACCGCGATCCCGAAGGGGAAACGGTCTGAATAGGGAGGAATTGGGGAGGGGCGGGGGGGGCGATTGTTACTTCTCTCGGCTGTTCCCCGGGGCGGCTCTTCCTTCCTCCTTCCCTCCCTCCCTCGGCTGTCAAGTCCGGCCGCTCACCTTGGCGCGCGCGCCGCGCTCGGGCTCCGCTGGTTGTAGCTTTTCCGCGCGGAGAAACAGGAAAAGGTTCCCCGCCGTCTATTCTAGGCAGCCGAACTCGTCTGCTTTTGCTTTTTTTTTCCCTTTCTTTTTTTTTTAATGCCCTTTAAAACCCGCCCCCTTTCCCGGGAGTAAGCGTGGACGGCTTGGGATAATGGCGGGCGCCTTTCTTTCTCCCCACCTCCACCTCCCCTTTGGCGCCTCAGCAGGGCAAAGGAGCCCCGTAAAAGGTTCCCTCTCTCTCCCCCTTTAGCCCGGCGGTGGGAGGAGAAAGGAGCAGCCGCCCCAAAGAAGGCGCTTTTCCTTCAGAAGCGGGACGGTGCCAAGGAGAGAAGCCATATAGAAATACAGGGGTGGGGAAACGATGGCCCCCTTGGTGAGTTTGTGGACTTCAACTCCCAGAATTCCTGAGCCAGCCGTGCTTATGAGCCACGCTGGCTGAGGAATTCTGGGAGTTGAAGTCCATAAAGGAGCCATCGTTTTTCCCATGCTGGCTCAGGAATTCTACAATTAACAATCAATTAACAATGAAAGGGACCTTGGAGGTTTTCTGGTCCAGGGGTCTCCAACCTTGGCAACCTTAAGACTTGTGGACTTCCAACTCTCAGAATTCCTCCTCCAGTCATGTTAGCTCAGGAATTCTGGGGGGACCTGCATAAGCGCACCAACGTGCCTATCCTCCCTGTCTTTTTGTTTCTTTTTCTTATTCGTATCCATTTTATGCATTCATAACCACGTTTACGCTTATACCTGTTATCTAATAATCGCTTGACAAAATAAAATAAATAAATAAAATAAAGTTGCCAAAGTTGGAGACCCCTGTTCTAGTCCAATCCCTCGCTCTTCTCTTCTTCCCCCAACAAACTAAAACGACTCCCGTTTCCATGCAGTTTCACAGGCTGCTGAAAAATAACAAAAAGGTTTCAAATCAGTTGTCCTCTTCTCTAGTTATTTTAATTTTGTCTTCTTCCTTGTATAGAGCTCTGTGTTTCTCCATCTTAGCAACTTTTAAGATGGATGGATTTCAACTCCCAGAATTCCCCAGCCAGCAAATTCTGGGAGTTGGAAGTCCATCCATCTTAAAGTTGCTAAGGTTGAGAAACGCTGACACAGATGTTCCAGATATTTCCAGCCCAGCCTTCTACTACACAAGCATGTGGTGGCTATGATGTCCACTGGGCAAGATTTCTCTAAAAAGGCTTTTATTACCATCCGAGCATTTACACAACTTTGTTAAGATGGTGAAGTGTGAGCTGCACTCACTCAACTGTCTTCAAAAAGAAAAAAGATTGACTTGTGATTTCTCACTTAGGGGGTTATTTGGTGAGAGAAAAACAACTGCATTCTGATTTAAATTGTGATGACCCGGGGTGTGGCACAAAGGCAACACAGTCAGATAATCAGTAGGAGTCCCATTATTAGCTCCAACTTTGCCCTCAGTGTCCTGGTTACCTTCTGGCTGGAGAAAAACTCTCCCGTGAACAGCCGTTGGCTGCAGAGAATCAAATCCAAAAGATGGTCAACAAAAACTGTAACTATAAGTCCAATCAAGGCAAGATGAGGTAATTAGTCTGGCAGGGCAAGAGAAGGAATTCCAGACGTGAAGGAACGGTAGTAATTCAACACAGTTGGGAGGTTGCCAGGAACACAGATAACCAAAGTCAACAAACGTTTGTTCCCAGCAGATGCTGCACTCAGCATGCATTTCTTTTAAATTCTCTTCCCAGGTGTGGCTAATTAAGGGACTCAGGGCCCTTTCCTCCCCCATAAGCCACGCAATCCACATTGCTCTCTTCTCCATTCCTCCCTGCGTGCCCTAGGATGAAGAGGGGGTGGGCCTGGGTCTTCCTCTGAACTGCCTCTCCCTTGTTCTACCTCTTCCCTGCTCTGCCCAGCCAGACTTTGCCCTTCCCCAGTTTCCTCCACAGTCAATGGAGCCACACTCCCACGCCTGTCAGCTGTTCCTCTTTCTTCTTGGATTCAGACTCTTGACAGGGGCATGACATAAATGATAAATTTAACCCACCCATACACTCTTGAAAAAATGTGTCACTTTTATTCTGAAAAAGATTGAATGTCGCTTCTCCTTTTGCAAGCGTCGCTTGAGGTTGTCTGAGAGAAATTCTCAAGTGCTGAAGAGGACTTGATTGATCACAAAAGCCTTTGCTATGGTCTGATTCCCTCCTTGTTCTTTCCCCACATGGATTTTCTGATGGGTAGCCAGGCAATCTCCCCGGCTGAAGCTCTTCCCGCATTCAGGGCACCGATAGGGTTTGACCCCCGTGTGGAGCCGCTGATGCCGGATCAGGTCCGAGTTCTGACTGAAGCTCTTCTCGCACTCGGAGCACTTGTAGGGTTTCTCCCGGGTGTGGATCCGCTGATGCCTGACGAGGCTCGAATGGGCGCTTAAGCTTAGGCCGCAGTCAGAGCAACTGAAGGGCTTCTGGCCCGTGTGCATCCTCAGGTGCATCTCCAAGATGGACTTACGAAGGAAAGTCTTGCCACAGTTGGAGCAGTCGTAGAGCTTCTCCAGCCGGTGGACTCTCTGGTGGGATGTAAGGTTCGCTTTATGACCAAAGCCCTTTCCGCAGTCCAGGCATTTATGGGGCAGTTCTCGGCTGTGGAGTCTTTGATAGAGGGGGGGGCCCTTCCCGAAGGCTGAGTTTTTACTGGGTCTCTCCTCTGGGATGACAACGAGGCACTGGTTTTTCCTCTTCTTCCGCTGCTTTTCCTGAGGAAATGGAACCTCGTCCACATCCGCGGTCCGATCCGACACAGATTTAGCCTCTTCTCCCGCCCTTCCTGCCTCTGCACCTTCCTGCATCTGTGAACCGTCTGGATTCCAGGCGATTTCTCTCAGACCTTCGCATTTGGCTCTTTCTAACCCTTGGCGTGTTTCACCTCCATCGTCCTTCTCGGAGACACCTTCTGGAGAAGGGAAAGAGAGAGAGAGAGAGACCAAAATGAAATCCAGTTAGTTCTCGACTTACAACGGTTGGTTTAATGACCGTTCAAAGTCAAAGGGGACATCAGATCACTTAACAACCATGTTACTAACTGAACAACTGCAGTGATTCTCTTACATACACAGTCTCCTTAGTACTAAATAAGATGATGGTCCTAGTGAATGGAATATTTCTGATTTACAGATTATCAGAGTTGGAAGGGACTTTGTAGGTCATCTAGTCCAACCCCCTGCCCAAGTGGGAGGCCCTACACCATTTCTCACAAATGGCAGTCCAATCTCTTCTTGAAAGTCGCAAGTGATGGCGCTCCCACAACTTCCGACAGCAAAGCTGTTCCATGGGTTGATTGTTCTCACTGTCAGAAAATTTCTCCTTATTTCCAGGTTGAATCTCTCTCCTTGTTCAGTTTCTATCCATTGTTCCTTGTCTCGCCTACAGGAGCTTTAGAAAATAGATTGACCCCCTCCTCTCCGTAGCAGCCCCTCAAATATTGGAAGACCGTTATCCTGTCTCCCCTGGTCCTTCTCTTCCCTAGACTAGCCAGGCCCAGTTCCAGTAATGATTTTTCACATGTTTTAGTCTCCAGTCCCCTAATCATCCTCTTCTATGTACTTTTTCTAGAGTCTTAACATCTTTTTCATAATTTGGTAACCAAAATTTATATTTCATATTTAGTGTTTCACCTTGTAACAGAATGACATTCAAAATACGCTGTATAACTGAAAGATGGTTTTTATTTGTTGTTTTTGTTGTAAAAATAAAAATAAATTCAAACAAAAAAGAATGATGTTCAAAGTATGTGTTTGTATATTACTAAATATTAAATCAGAAATATTCAATTTACCGAGACCATTCTTACATTTATTTCTAAGGAGACAATGTGTGTAGGCCAAACCTCTTTTTGATTCATGAACACATCCACAATTCTTTTTTAAAAAATGTTCAAATCTAATCAGCAGTCCTGTGATTTCTTGATGGTCTCCCATCCATGTAGCAACCCTACTCCAAGCTCCAAACTCCAATCCCAAGCCAAAAAAAATACAGGATTGTCAAAGCGATTAGGAGAATCTGTGGGGTGAGGTTTTTTTTCCCCTCTATTGTAAGCTTGCTTAGTTTTTCATGTAGGCCCTGCTTTAAGAAAAAGGAGTGATTTTAGAAGGATTTTAACCCCAAAGATCTAGTGCAGGGGTCTCCAACCTTGGCAATTTTAAGACTTGTGGACTTCAACTCCCAGAGTTCCTCAGCCAGCAAAGCTTGTTGAGGAACTCTGGGACTTGAAGTCCACAAGTCTTAAAGTTGCCAAGGTTGGAGACCCCTCATCTAGTGGGAATTCACAGGAATTCACCAACTTTTCCTGATTGACTAAACCTAGTTTAAGTTTTCTTAGCTCACTTAAACATTGATCCTGGCTGTGAATTACTAATTAACCTATCTTTCGTGAATCAGTCAATCTCATTTTATAACATTCTGTATCTTAGAGAGTATCGTAATACCTGTGGCAGTTGCGCAATGAAGGGTTTTATTATTTTTCTAACATCCTATTTTGGTCTGCATTTAATCTCCTGTCAGGTGGCTTCTTGCATAAGCATGAGATTTCAAATTATGAGAGGTTATAAAATTTATAATTTTACTTATATATTCAGGGGCATCCGACTCTTAACGTGAGCTAAACCCCCAATTCACTTGTTGTATCTCACGGCAATCACAATTGTTAAAGAAGGCAGGTGCCTGTTTACCTGGAGGTTTCCCTTCTCCTGAACTCTGAAAAAATGTCTTGTTTTTATCTCCCAGCCAACAAACCTCACTTTGGGGTAACAGTGGACTTCCTGCAGCAGATCACAAAAAAGCAACACAGACGAATGAGTTAATTTCTACATTTCTAATGGTAGACAAGTATTTCAGTCAGTAAGAAGAAGAAACTGTTGACCTCACTTATCTCGTTAATCTACGTTCAGAATGGCCGCTGAGTAATGCCTGTGAGCTACGGACACAAATACCATTAGTGATATGACTACAGAGATTTTCAGTCATCGAGATCATGGTTGTCCCAAAGGGGCTTTTTTTCAAAGGGCAACTGGACTTTCTGTTTTTTTCTTTGAAGAGGTTTTGCTTCTTATCCAAGAAGCTTCTTCAACTCTGGCTGGATGGTGGGAAATGGAATCCAGTTTGAGCTCAAGAAGCTTCTTGGATGAGAAGCGAAATGTCTTCAAACAGAAAGTCCAGTTGCCTCTTGAAAAAAAAAAAAACATCTTTGAGACTACCGTTAATGATACTGTCTCTTAGGAAACCTGTAGCAGCAGGAAACTGACTAAAAAGCTAGACTAGATGACCTTTTTAGTTGTATAGAATGTGAAGGATGCATGTTTGTGTTTTATTTTTATAGTTTACTGAAGATGGTATTTAATGTCATTGTACAAGGTGCAATGACAGTAAAGTAAACTAAACTAAACTAAAACTAGTTCCCACACAGTATCTCTATAATGGCTTGGAGCAGGGGTCACCAATCTTTTGGACCTCAGGGACCACCAAACTCATAATATTAAATCCCGCGGACCAGAGACCCTGGGAAAATCCCCCCAAAAAGTCTGCAGGGAAATTCCCTACCCCGTTTTCCTACCAATCGATCATTCTTTATTTGGGATCGCAGGATACCGTCTCCAGCTCCATTCTCAAGGGGAGAGAGAGAGAGAGACTTTTGGCTTCATGCAAGGAAAACAGCAGATGCAGCAGAAGTCTTTCTTTCTCTCTCCCAAACTCTGCCAGAAACGAGTCTTTGTAAGACTTGTTGTGCCGGCGTGGCCTCTTGGAGCAGGAGGCCTTGCAGGGTCCCAAAGACTCATTTCTGGCAGAGTTTGGGGGAGAGAAAGAAAGACTTTTGCTGCTTTCCTTGTGTGCAGCCAAAAGCAGAAGAAGAAAGAAGCAGCCCAGTGGCCAGGCGAGGCGAGTGGGGCAAATTCTCCCCCTCCGCCCTTTCCCCCCCTCCCCTCACTACCTCGTGTTGTTCGTAATGCAAGTGATACAAGCCTTGTGTTCCCACGGGCCATGTGGGCGGCGCAGCCTTGTGTTCCCATGCAGCCTGGATTAATAGCTTTGCGGGGTGACATTTTTCTATGGACCACCAAAATTTTCTCGTGGATCACCAGTTGGCGATCACTGAGCTAAACCATCCTCCACAGTTGGCTGCTCACCTGGTCCTTAAAATATTTCAAAGCAAGAGAACACAACCTTTGTAAGATTTGTATCCTATGACTATGACTAAGTGTTGTACTTAATGATTCATGGTGAATGTCTTTATGATGACTACGATCATGATTTATCACTTATATCTTTTAGGTACACCGAGAGCTTATGCACCGAAGACAAATGCCTTGTGTGTCCAATCACACTTGGCCAATAAAAGAATTCTAGTTCTGATTCTATTGCTAGACCTTGTTGGAAAACAGAGGCAATTGATGTTCAGGTGAAGCCATCTTAGACAGGCAGCTGTCTGAATTTCTCTCCTGCATTCAGTGGCAGATTAAGGCTCACTAAGCACTGAAGAATCTTGGTGCCCTCCTTCTTTGCACATACTGTACAAAAGAAACCAAGCTTAGGCTACACAAAAGTTTTTGTGGTGCTCCCTTTGGGCCTGGTGCTCTAAGCACGTGTTTAGTCTGCTTAATGGTTAATATACCACTCCCTCCATTGTCTGAGTGGACAACTAGCTAAATATGAGCCAGTAGTGTGCAGCAGCAGCCAAAAAAGCTAATGCAATCCTAAACTGCATTAACAGAGGGATACAATCAAGATCAACCACTCTATAAAGCCTTAGTAAGTCCATACCTAGAGTACTGCATCCAGTTTTGGTCACCACATTATAAAAAAGATGTTGAGACTCTAGAAAAAGTGCAGAGAAGAGCAACCAGGATGATTAGAGGACTGGAGGCTAATAGATACAGTGAACGGTTGCAGGAACTGGGCTTGGCTAGTCTAGTGAAGAGAAGGACCAGGGGAGACATGATACCGGTCTGATAAAGTGTGATAAAGACCCTCCATAGATTGGAGAACTGGGATATTCAAACAGCGTGCTCCTTACCCAACAAGGTGGCCTGTCCATCACTCTCTTCCAGCGTTGATTCGACATAGAGAGCCCTCTGTCCGGGCTCAGCTGGAGTCCAGGAAAAAACAGCCTGGGCTTCCTCCAAGACGCTCTAGGATATCCAAAAAAGGAACAAGTCACAGAGGGTGGTGTTAAATAGTACAATCCAATCCTTTTCCCTGCTTGGTGCCATAGTTGGAACTCCACCCATAAGATCAGATTAGACATCCAGCGCTTGCTTATCAACGGAGACCGAGTGGAGCAAGGGGCCAGTTTTAAGCTTCTGAGTGTTACCCTAAAAGTGGACCTGACCTGGGGTGCTCGCATTGCAGCCCTGGTCAAAAGGGCCCAGCAGAGATTATACTACCTGAGGCTTCTCAGAAAACAACAACCGAATGAAAAACTGCTGGTGACCTTCTACCGCTGCATCATAGAGAGCATTTTAACATATTGCACCTCTGTATGGTTTGCCAATTGCACAGTGGCAGATAGGAAAGCGCTCCATCATTGCCCAGAGGATCACGGGTTGCCCTCTCCCCTCTTTGGAAGAGCTTTATAGCTCCTGCTGCCTTAAGAAAGTTCAAAACATTCTCAAAGATCCGCCTCATCCTGGGCACCCTTTTTTTTTTTTGAACTATTACCATCCAACAGATGGTACAGGATAATAAAAACAAGGACAAATACGCTGAAAAACAGCTTCTATCCCAGGGCAGTAGCTCTGTTGAATTCTACTGTGCAATATTAATGCAATATCAGGGGTGTTCAATTCAATGTATAAATGCGTAGGATGTGCGTTTGTGTTTTATTTTTATAGTCATAACGTACACTGAAGATGGCATTTAATTTCATTGTACGAGGTGCAATGACAATAAAGTAAACTGAACAAACTAGAAACTAGAATGGAGGGGTTTGCTGAACCCTAAAGACCTTCTTTGGAAGATCAAGTGTAAGTCTGCAAAAGCTTAGTTTTCATGGAGTCTATCTACTAAAACTGTGCAATTCCAGGAAAAGACGCAGCTGCTTTAAAGGTTTGTGGATACCATATTTCTCCATGTATAAGACGCCTCCATGTATAGAACGCAAAATTACCCAAAAATTCTTACTCAAAATTTCCCAAAATTCAGAAATCAATATTTTAAACATTAAATAGAAGACATTTATTTTGCAGAGTAAGACTTTCACTTTTAGGTACCGGTATTTATTTATTTATTTTTGTTTTCTGACATTTTTATGGGTTCAGAACGCTCCGACATTACCACTCCCTGTCACATCCTGGGCACTGGCTACAGGATCAGCTGCAACGCCAGTTACGTAAGCCTCATGATTGGAGGAAAGCTGTTAGCTTGTCTCTGCAATCGGAGGTTTCACTCATGAGGCTAGTTTGCAGACACATGAGTTGTGGTTCACTGGCAGCCTGTGCAGACAGCAGCAGAATCGGACAGTGGGGAAGAATGGGGACCAGTCCAGGAGTCTGGGGAGGACTCGGACGAGGGTCCTGTGTCCAATGCAGAGATGGGGCCAGGACCATCTGGGAGTGGGGTGCTGACTCCGGAGCCTCCAGAATCTGGCAGCAGCGAGGCAGAGGAATAAGGGGAGCCTATTCCCAGTGCACGTGTGCGCAGAGCTGCCAGAAGGCAAGAGCAGCTAAGACAAAAGGAGCAACTCGGGAGTAAGGCTTGGAGGTGTTTGGCCCCTCCCATAAGGTATAAAGGACATGCAAAGGTAGAGAAACCTTTGCAGGAAGCAAAGTCGTTTGCTCTGTTTGTGTTAAACCTTGAAGCTCTGTGTGGACTTTTTACTTCGTTTGGCTTTTTTCAGTTAATTTGGCACTTTAGTTGTTGGCAGCGATTCAAAGGAAAGAAAGGTGGGTGCTTATCTTGAGAGACTGTTTGGGACTCATTACGGGCTGGGAATGCACATAATTCCCAGCGTCGAAAGAAAACAAGCGTTGTTTGGACTAAGCGTGGGCTTAATTATGGTCTCAAGAAGCCTTGCCCTCAGGAAGCCTTGCCGCGCAAAACGTAGTCACCGAAGCGATAGTAACACCGGTTGAATCCCACCCCTGCACTGAATGCATTAACAGAAATCACAAAATCAGGACTCCTGTCCTGTTTCTAAGCCGTAAGCGCCTCTTTGCAGACCCCACAATTTTGGGGAAGAGCACAGCCCACAGGTCAAACTCACCTGCTTTTCTTGCCTCCGAGCCTCTTGCTGCCTCGAGAGGAAATCCTCCACCAGGGCCACGGCCTCGGCACAGGTCTCCATGCTGCATTCACACACCCAGCTCCGCATTTCCGGGGGGAGGATAGCCAGAAATTGTTCCAAGACCAGCAATTCCACAATCTGCTCTTTGCTGTGCTTCTCGGTCTTCAGCCACTGGCGGCAGAGATCCCGCAGTTGGGCGTAGACGGCTCTTGGCCCATCGGCCTGCCAGTAGCCAAACTGCCGGAAGCGCCGGCGAATCTTCTCTCTGCTTAGAGCCTCCTCTCGCAAGATGGCCGCCTTCACTTTCCCATAATCCTCTCGGCCTCCAGCTTCCAGTTTATCGAAGGCCTGCCTGGCTTCTCCATTGAGGGCAGGCAAGAGCCGAGCTACCCACTGCTCCCTGGGCCAGCAACAAGCCTCAGCTACTTGCTCGAAGGAGCCCAGGAAGGCCTTGGCATCTTCCCACAAGGAAGGGTCCTCTGGGAAATGGGTCATTCCCCAGTCCGAGTGAGAGGACTCCATGGTCCTCAAAAAAGTCTTCCATTGGACTTCCCAGTGCTGGGTTAGATCCTCTTCTGATTCTCCCTTCACCTGAGGCAGGATGGCCTGTCCACAGGATCTTCCCGTATCTCCATCCAGAGATTTGCCTCGTCCTCTGAAGTCCACTCTGGTCTTGCAATCTACGATGACCCCGTGAAGGATTTCTCCAGCTGGTTTGGATGGCTCTCCTGGCAGACAACTAAGGATCCCTTCTTCTTCCCTTTTCATCCTTGGAGATCTTCACCAAGCTGGTGGCACACAGCAAAACATTCAGAGACAAAGGACAACAACCTGGGAGGGACACGAGGAGAATCCCCAAAAAGTTTGGCACAATGATTAAAAAAATAAACATTTGTATTATGATGGCAAAATTATAAAGCTGTATTATTAAATTTACAGAGCTATTAAAAAAACTATGCATAGTTATTCAAAGAACCCCATTCTCTTCCTTGCTTCAAACATGAAATTAGCTATTGCACGTGCAAATTGAAAAGTGGCCATGATGCAAATTAATATGCTTATTTATAATTTTGCAAAGGCACCGCTTCTTATCACCTGGTCCTAGGCTAGATATAAGTGCAAAGATAGGAAGACACAGATTTTGCTGTCCAGATACAGCTCAACCTGGGGAATTTAAAGAAGTGTGGATTTCAACTCCCAGAATTCCCCAGCCATTCTGCACAAGACTGAGGAATTCTGGGAGTTGAAGTCCACCCAGCTTAAACTTTCCAAAGTTGAGAAACACTGGCCTCTTTCCAACTGAGCCAAAGCTTGTGAAATTTATACAGTGAGCAAGGCAAGGAAGATGCCATTTTATGATGGATTTGGAAAGGATTAGGAGGAGCACCACGGATTGCAAAAACAGCCCATCAGTCTTAGTTTCAAAGGAAGCAGGGAGTCATATATTTTTGGGATGTCAATCAAGCAGATGTCAGACCAAACACAAACCAACCCACCCAATTTTTGGCATAGTTGATTGAGGGTGGAAGGAGAAGAAGCCATGGTGGACAGCTGGAAACTGGATCCAAGAAAATACAGACTCCTTTTGGAAGAGTCACAAGTGATTTCCACAGGCAGTCAAAGTGAAATCCTAACTTGATCCTAACTTGAAAGTCCCACAGCTTGGAAATGCTGCAAAGCACCACAGGACTGAGTGCCTACATATAGATATTAGATAGATAGATAGATAGATAGATAGATAGATAGATAGATAGATAG